TGTACACATTTTTTTGTTAATTTGATTGTCATTACAGTGTGTTGTATCATCATAAATATTTAAATAAGCATTTTAATATAAGTTGATTTGTCAGGACGTTTGACCTCAAGTCGTTACTACTGATATGTTATAGTTGATATCTACTGATAATATCGTATAGTAAAATATCATTAATTTAATATTTTTAATAACTATTATTTAATTTTTTTCTTGTATTTAAATTATAACTTTAGAATCGAGTAATTTACCACGTCGCCCACCCCTGGAAATGACTGTTGGTCATGCCTATGAACTAGTCAAGCTGATGGCAGCATCTAGTATGGGAGCGTGTGCTTTCACCAATATTGACGAACTGCTCAAATGACCTTCGTGCAATGTGCGCGTCTCACTGCCACCATTCTGCAGGCAAATAATATAACTGCAATACTTAGCAACAAAYAAATTGTGTAACATTGTTCATGAAGTTATAATTTATACTTTACAGAGTTCAAAACGGTTGGCCGCCAAATTTGAACACAGTAACAATGGCAAAAGTACTTTAAGCGGCCACATCACCCACAAAAATATTTTGTACAAAAAAAAAAAACATAAAATTGACAATTACATTTTTCTGTATAAGCGTGTAAGTAGTATTTTTTTCCGATAGAATTTTAAAATATTTACCGTTAACACAATGTAAATTAGCATTAAATTTAACAGATTAAATTTCAAACTTATCTGAAAGTTATTTTCACTCATTACTTTTTTCTTGTTATTTAATTGTATTATTTTTTAAATATTGTATACTTTAAAAGTTTAAAAATTTTGTTAATTTCTTTTATTTTTGCGGACAAATATTTATAAAAATAACAAATTATGAAGGTCTGATTAACTTGTCGGTATATTATTTTATTGTCGGATCCAATTTATAATTTGTTGTACGTAAATGTTATTTGCGTATTTTATGATCTCTTCACATAATTTATGCAACATATTTAAATGATATTTTATTGTTGTGATGTGATTCTTGATAACCTATTCTTGACAAATATGTTTTTTTTTTATTGAATCAAATGACGTTTTATTTTTATTAAATAAAAACTTAAAATCGCCAACACTTATGTATAAGATCATTTAAACATTGTACCATATTATTTAATTTATAGTTGTTAGTTTCATATGATTGTACTAACAAAATATAATTAGTTCATTTAAATATAGTTTTTTTTCTGGAAATGTTTGTTTATTTTTTATAATATTTTACTTAATTGGTATGAATAATATTATTTTGTATGATTTTGAAATTTGGTTGCCTAGCAASGTTGTATAAGTTATCAAAACATTATGCTTCAGTCTTCACACCTGTATAATWCATGTTAGTGTGTTATGAAGCTTTTTAATATACTGTAAAAATCATGAGTAAAATAAAGTTTTATTGTTGTGGTTCTAAATAATTAATATTATTAATTAATAAATACTGTTAGGTACTATGGATAACGGATTAGTGTCTTATAAAAATAGAGGTAATAAAATAAGCCATTTATSATATACACGCCTCGAATAATGACCGATTCCTTTGCCAGTAATGGTTGTAATAATATTACAGAACCAATGATGCAATTTTTCAATGTTCAAGAAAAGTCTGATTGGATTATTTACAATCGTTACATACAACGAGATTTGGAATTATGTAAATTATTAATTGACCAGGAGTTACGAAACACTAAGGATAACAACGAATTTGCATTTTATATATTGGTAATAATGTAGATTCATAGAATACATATTAAATTTATAAATATATTATTACAAAACAATGGATATTCTACTAGAAAATATTAGAATAAACATCTGTCAATTGTAATATTATTCTCGATAAAAGTGAATTATATTCAACTCTGAAGTACTTCAAAAATATATTTAGTAACATATGTAATATGTCATAATATTGTYGTAATATACTAAAAAACATAAATGATTTGTTTTAGGGATTAATATATAGAGAAGAAGGTAAGATAAAAAATTCATATTGGTGTTTTGATAGATATTATGCTTTGAATCCATTGTGTGTTGAAGGTGTCAAACAAATTGCTCGTTCATGGTATGTTGATTAATTATGAATCTTAAATCAATATTCAATAATTTATAATAGTACTGTTAAAATTTTGAATAAATTAGAAAAATAATTTGTACATACATTATAAAACTTCTTTAATTTAAATATTAAACGATTGAAAATTGATGACCTTATCACATTTTTTCAAAACAACTCAAAATATACTAGCCAATACTTCATAATGTGATTTAATGCTTTTAATTKATCACTTTATTGTCAGCAATAAAGTTTTAAAGTTTCATTGATTTTCGATAATATATTGAAGCATATTATACATGCTGTCTACTCACTACCGATTAAGTTATTCGATATTCTTATCACCTATAAACTATTAATTATCAAATAATAGTATATTATTACTTTTTAATTAATAGTCTTACGCAACTAACTTTATCTAACTTACTTCATTAAAACATTTAAAACTATATTTTATATTCTGAGGAGCAATAAATTTATTAATTTTACATTATGTTATCTTGTGAAGTTTCATGACTCATTATTTTTTGGAGTAGTGAAAAATGAAAATTCTTCAATTTTCAACTTTGAGGATGGTTCCTGGTAGCAAATAGGATCTTSGAATTGATATTTTGAAGAGTCAAAAGTAAATAGGCTRGTAGAGAAGTCATAGTCAATTCGTAAACATGATATATTGTTTCCTAATAGGAAAAGGGAGGATATTCACGATTGAGTCATACTTCCCCTAAGATGGGTAGTCAAAACCATAATTTAACTAT